GGGGGGGGGGGGGGGGGGTGGGGTTGGGGGGGGGGGGGGGGGGGGGGGGGGGGGGGGGGGGGGGGGGGGGGGGGGGGGGGGGGGGGGGGGGGGGGGGGGGGTGGGGGGGGGGTGTGGGGGGGGGGGGGGGGGGGGGGGGGGGGGGGGGGGGGGGGGGGGGGGGGGGGGGGGGGGGGGGGGGGGGGGGGGGGGGGGGGGGGAGGCGGGAAACGCTGATTTTGCTGAGGGCGCCCCTACCCCCCCGTGCTGAACCCCCTGTTTACGCTGTGCGGGTGGCGCGGTCCTCCACGAAAAAATTGTGCACCGACCCCCCCCACACCCCCCCCCCCCCCCCCCCCCCCCCCCCCCCCCCCCCCCCCCCGCGTTTTGGGGGGGTAAGGAGGGAAAGAGGGAGGTTTCACCTCCTTTTCCCATCCAACACGCCGCCAGGGTCGGCGGACCCTAAACCCTAAACCCTAAACCCTAAACCCTAAACCCTAAACCCGAACCCCTAAGCCCTAAAGAGCAAGAACACCAATCGAACAGGTGGAACGCATGCCGGCATCTTGTCTGTTTCTCTCATGATTAAGGCCCCTATGTTAGGGGCATGCTGCAGACAATTCTTACATGGGCTGAATCTATAAACCCTGTACACTAAACCCTAAAAACTACATTGCTTTAAAACCGCGTCGACAGAAACTGCGAGGAAAAGGCCTCGGGCCAGCCCGCCAGCCAAAAAGCGTTTTGGGTGTCAGTGGGCTTAAGGGTTTAGGGTTTAGGGTTTAGGGCGTAGGGTTTAGGGTTTACGGTTTAGGGCTTAAGGTTTTAGGGTTGCGGGTGTTTAGGGTTTAGGGTTTAGGTTTTAGGGTTCAGGGGTTTAGGGTTTAAGGTTTAGGGTCGCAGGCGATGCTTTTCACGTGGTGGTCTCGGCTTTTGCCGGGGCCATCAGCTCGCAACTGCGAGAAAAGGAACCGGTGCCCTCAACAGCCCAGTGCCCGCGAGTACGAAGTCAAAGCCAGGTTGAACACACCAGCAAGAAAATAAGCACGGGGGGTTTCTGATTTTAGGGGTACCTGCTTGGGGTCCTTATTCTAAGGGAATCCTACTCTTTGGGGGGGTCTATTATTATTATATAGGGGTCCCTTGTTTTTCGTAAACTCCCACATGTTCATGCAAGCAAAGGCTTGCCTTAGCTGCAAACACTACGTGGACCTTCTTGGTCTAAGTGGGAGCATCGGGATATGCCCATGCGAATTGGGTTTTAATGGGATCTTGTTTCTTTGTCCAGGGTCCTCTCTTGTTGGGTTTTACCCTAAACCCTAAACCCTAAACCTCAGACTTCTGTGGTCGTTGCTTCCTTGGAGCTCGCTGGACCTGTGCAAGAAAACCAGCGGCCAGGCGCCTGCGAACGCCGCCGCAGCAACGGAGCTCCGGAGGCACCTATATATACATATATGTACACGCATATCCATATAGAATACATATATATATATATACATAAATACATAAATACACAAGTAAATGAATAATTAGATATAAATAAATAAATAAATATAAATATATATATATATATGTAATTTTCATACCTATATATATATATATCATACCTGCATATATATATATATGCTTAAGGGCTCACTGGCTTTAAGAGTCTAAAGGCATGTGGAGAGAAGGCTTGAGGAGGATCTTTGGTGCCAAGAGCGACAAGTCTTTGAGAAGCCCAGTACATGCCGAGGCTGCCACCAGCGGCTGCTGTTTAGGGTTTAGGGGTTTAGGGTTTAGGGTTGAGGGTTTAGCGGATACGTTTGTAAGACTGCGGGGCGTAAAATGCACAAGCCATTGCTAGGAGGGAACTTGCAGACGAGTATTTAACTCATGCCAAGTCGACTTTGAATTCCTTGGAACTTGCAAAAGGGGCTCTGGTTCCCTGGACCGCAAAACTCTTCTCAGGCGGCTGAATACCAAGGCACTGACAGAGGAAGAGGTGGGAGCTGTGATGTTTACTGGGAGGGGCGCAGTTTGGAGGTTTGGCGATTTAGGGCTCAAGGGATTGCGGATTTCGTGCTGAAAGGATGGGTTTAGGTTTTGGCGGTTCAGGGGATCGGGAGTTTCCGTGTTCAGGGTTTTGGGATTTAGGGTTTTGATTTTGGGGTCTTGGGCTTAGAGGTTCAGAGTTCTTAGGATTTTGGGGTATTTCCAGCGGTTTCTGGATGAGGACTGGGAAGAGTATCTCAAGCCACGTCTCTGCTTCCTAGCACCCCTGTCCACCCTTGACACTCGAAAGGGGTCCTCGCAAAGAAACGTCAAATGCTCCACTCCGTGGACCCGGGTCCCTGAACCCAAATGCCCCGAAACCCGAAAATGTAGCCCTAAACCCCTAAACCCCTAAACCCCCAAAACCCTAAACCCTAAACCCTAAACCCTAAACCCTAAACCCTAAACCCTAAACCCTAAACCCTAAACCCTAAACCCTAAACCCTACACCCTAAACCCTAAACCCTAAACCCTAAATCCTAAACCCTAAACCCCAAAACCCAGAAGCAGGCTCAGATTTCCCTGCCAGAGGCGCTACAACTCGCCTCCGCCTCCGATGGCAAGGCTCCGAAGATCGGACTCAAGGGTCCTACTGGAGGAAGGGTATAGGGTTTAGGGTTTAGGGCTTAGGGTTCAGGGTTTAGCGTTTAGGGTTTAGGGTTTAGGTTCACAGATTGTTGAGGTTTTGGGTTTTTGTTTTAGGGTTTAGGGTTTGGGGTTTCAGGGTTTGGGGTTTTGGGGTTTCAGGGTTCAGGGCTTGGGGATTCAGGGTTCAGGGTCACGTTTAAAACGCGCGCGTTAAGACAGGTTCTCACCAGAGCTACCAGACTTATATGGCCCTTCTTACGAAACCTCTACGTACAGGCCACATGACAGTGGGTGATTGCTGGGCTCGGACGGCTCGGATCGCAGTCTGGGGATGTTTGCAAGGTTTCAAGAGTACCCTGAGCCCTAATCCCGAAACCTCAAACCCTAAACCCTAAACCCTAAACCCCAAACCCTCAACAATGAGGGCTGGTGCACCTTCGGGGAATCAAAAAATGCAAAACCATCTCCGGGTGGTCCTCTCGGAAATTTCACCATGATTCTTCCTTTTCACCCTAAGCCCTAAAGCCTAAACCTTAAAGCCTAAAGCCCTAAAGGGCATCTTCAAGGAGCTTTCAGACGCATGCCTAGTTGGGCTGTAGCTTGAGATTCTTGGTCTGCATGTTCAGCTCGGCAGGCAGCGGCGGGCAACGCAGCCCAGCGCTACAGCCTCAGGCGTTGTGTATTGCGTTTTTTTCTGTGCCCAAGTCGCACCCTAAACCCTAAACCCTAAACCCTAAACCCTCAATGGTGCCTCCTCCCTTTCGGAAGGGCCGGGTGGCAGTGCCAAGAATTCATGTTTCGCCCGCTTTTGCTCGGGAGCCCGCCTTCATGTCTGCAGAGTCAGCGGCTGCGCTGGAACATCCGGGTGGGGGGGGTGGGTGGGGGGGGGGGGGGGGGGGGGGGGGGTTGGGGGATTCCGCTACGAAGTCCATCAGCTTCGCCTGCCCGGAAAAGGGGGGGGTGGGGCAACACATCAAGCAAGGCTCCACATCAACCTGTCTTGAGATGCCGGGGTTTCCGGGCCTCCAGCCCATAATCCAGTTTAGGCCCCTCTTTCAACCAAAAGGGGCACCCTTTTGGTTCCTAGGTTACTCTTGGGTCTAGGAGCCCTCATGACCTGAGCCCTGGTTTGTTTTTTTTTTCACCCAGGTGCGAAGATTAGCAAGCTGGCGGCCGATCTGGCGAAGGCCAAGCGTGGGTTTAGGGTTTAGGGTTCAGGGTTCAGGGTTCAGGGTTCAGGGTTCAGGGTTCAGGGTTCAGGGTTCAGGGTTCAGCTCAGGTGAAGACTCGAAGCAGGGAACTTTGAGTTTCTGGACCCCGGGGGGCTCCTTCAGTGTGCCCTAAACCCTAAACCCTAAACCCTAAACCCTAAACCCTAAACCCTAAACCCTAATTAAGCCCTAAACCCCAGACCCTGAACCTTAAACGTTCATGCCCAGGGCTCCCAGAGCTTCTGACCTAAACCTCAAACCCTAAGCCCAAAACGAATAAGTCAGCCCTCAAGCCTCAACCTTAGCCGAAACCCCTCAAACACCCTAAACCCTAAACCCTAAACCCTAAACCCTAAACCCTAAACCCTAAACCCTAAACCCTAAACCCTAAACCCTAAACCCAAATCCTAAAACCCTAAGGCGGCAGTGTGGCAAAGAAGAGCGATGGCAGTGGCTCTGCTGAACCAAACAGTGATGGTCCAGGCGACAACGTGCTGCCGAAGTGCCCTGCCCCTGGCTCTGACGAAATGAGCGATGATGGCCCCAGCGATGCGGCGTTTCATTCCAGGAGCAAGAAGACGGGAGTCTGGAGTCAGAACAACTTGCGCTGTGCTGCTGCTGTGGTGCTACGGATGGACTGCTTTTGAGATTAAGAGAGATTCAAGGACCCTAAAGCCTAAACCCGAAACCCTAACCCTAAACCCTAAACCCTAAACCCATGGCTCTTCGCTCGAATGGTTCGGCATGAGTGGCACAAGATACAAATACCCTGAGACCATGGGCCCCCGGGGCAAGAACCCCCGTGATCTTATGGCATCCCGTATCAGCAATTGGGGTTTAGGGTTTAGGGTTTAGAGTTTAACCCTAAACCCTAGTAGCCCTAAACCCTAAACCCTAAACCCTATAGTAGCCCTAAACCCTAAACCCTAAACCCGAGTAGCCCTAAACCCTAAACCCTGGCGCAGGTCCTGGGAACCTCCAGCGTCGCAGCTGCGGCGTCCTCGGCTGGGACCCCCAGAGTCAGAGCGGCAATCTGAGGCTTGGGGATGTTTAGGGTTTAGGGTTTAGGGTTAGGGTTTAGGGTTAGGGTTTAGGGTTTAGGGTTTAGGGCTACTATAGGGTTTAGGGTTTAGGGTTTAGGGTTATCAGGGATTTCCGGTTGAGGGGTTTGGGGGTATCAGTTAGCAGGGTTTTTTCGGTTTTAGGGCTTAGGGTTATCAGGGTTGTCCGTTTCTTGGGTTTAGGGTTTGGGGTTATCAGGGTTGTCCGGTTTTAGGGGTTACCAGAGTTCGCCAGTTTTAGGCTTTTTTTAGGGTTCTGAGGGTTGTCAGGGTTTGCCGGTTTTAGGGTTTAGGGTTATCAGGGTTATCAGGCGGGTTTACGGTTTGTAGGGTCTGGGGGTAATAGACCCACTTTTGGCGCACAGGACACCGACGCCTTATGCCACGGAAGGAAGGAAGGAAGGTTTGGGGGTATTGGGGTTATTGGGGTTGGGGGTTATTGGGGTTCATTGGGTTTTTCGGGGTTTGGGGTATTTGGGGTTTGGGGTTTCGGGTTCTCAGGGTTTAGGGTTTAGAGGCCTAAACCCTAAATCCTACCTGCGACCCTGCAGGAATGTTCAAACTTTTTCTCGATGGTTCAGGGCTAGGTTCGGCTCATGCTGCCGGGCTTTTGCGTTTGTCAGAGTTTCGTGTTCAGGGTTCAGGGATTAGGGTTTAGGGTTTGTGGGTCCTGTTTTGAGGTGCCCGAGACCCCTCGCGGCGAGGGCAGAAACAGAGAGTTGCGTTCTCCTTTTGGGATCCAGTCTTGCGATCCAGGAAGATCAGTTCCACTGCCTGGGCTACTTGAACTTGGAGAAGGCGGAGTCCGTCGGGGCCTTGGGCTTCCACCTGCTCTCCCTTTGTAGGGTAGGCTAGGTCTCAGATTAGGGTTTAGGGTTTGGGGTTTGGGGTTTAGGGTTTGGGGTTTGGGGTTTAGGGTTTGGGGTTTGGGGTTTGGGGGGGGGGGGGGGGGGGGTTTGGGTTCCCTTATATTTGAGCCCCTTGAAGCAAAAATGGACACCCTGTTTATTCCTAGGCTACTCTTGGGTCTAGCAGGCCAGGTAGGAGCCTCGCACAAGTGCTGAGAGGCATCGGGAGGCGTTTGGGATGTCCCCCCTTCTACTAACAGTCCTTAGTAGGGATTCTAATAGGGGGTACTAGAATCCCTTTTAAAGACTCTTCGTAAAAGGGGGAACATCCCAAGGAGGTGTCATTGTTCTCAAAAAAGAGCCCTTGAATTGTTGGATGGTGCACCTATGGTCTATTCCCACCGGCGTGAGCATCAAAAAAATGGAGGGTCTGCTAGCGCACGCGGCCCTCGTGCCAAGACTTCAAGGCGTCACAGCGCAGCGCGCCAAACCCTAAACACTGAACCCTAAACCCTGAACCCTAAACCCTAAATCCTATACCCTAGACCCTAAACCCGAACGCCGCGAAGCCTCGCTTCAGGTCCTCAATGAGTTCGCCAAGGTCAGCCCGGGGAGTGTTGCTAGGGCCCAGAGCAGGCTCTTATTCTAAGAGGGTTTAGGGTTTAGGGTTCAGGGTTCAGGGTTCAAGAGGGTTTTGGGTTTAGGGTTTTGGGGGTAGTTTCATGGGCCCTTAATGTGGCCCCTTGCCTCCTTCTAAGGGTTCTGAGGTATGAACCCCTTGGGTTGTGCAGGGCATATAGGGGTATTGCACTGGCCCCCTTTAAGGGGCCCATACTAAGGGACCATGCAACTACCCTAAGACTTCTTCCCCCTTTTGTTCGGGTTTTTAGGTTCCCCTTATATGCCCCCCCGGGTTGACGGTGTAGGGTTTAGGGTTTAGGGTTTAGGGTTTAGGGTAACTAGGACCGAGAATAGGCCCTGTTCCACTTTTTGAGTGTTGTGTTCCCTTCTTTAGCTCCGTTAAAACAAAAAGGGCACCCTTTTTGCTTCCTAGGTTGCTTTTGGGGTCTAGGTCCAGGTTGGCGTTTCTCTCAGAATCCAAACAGGCTCTTACAGACCGTGGTGAGCTTGCAACCTAAACCCTAAACCCTACACCCCAAACCCGCAACCCTAAACCCTAAACCCTGCAAAGTTTCTAAGCTCTGAGCTCTCTTAACAGCCTAAACCCTCTAACCCTATGACCGTAAAGCCCTACAACCCCGCAACCTGAAAACTCTCAAGCCCCAAAATCCTATAATAAACCGAAACCCCCAAAATCTTATTATACAACCCCAAACCCTAAAATCCCTACAATATCACCCTAAACCCCAAAACTCCATAATGTAACCCCAAACAACTAAAACCCCACAATATATCCCAGTTCATCTAGGGTTTAGGGTATAGGGTTTGGAGTCAGATACTTGTGGAACTAAGTTGCTGCTTACTCTTCTATTTTGACATCATCTACCACTTGCGTGTCATTCGTGCCTCGCTGTTCTTCCAATCCCGAAACCCTAGACCCTAAACACCAAACCCTGAAAAAAAACTCTGTTAAGCCCTAAACCCTAAACCCTAAACCCTAAACCCTAAACCCTAAACCCCAAACCCCAAACCCCAAACCCCCAAACGCTGCTGATGGCCAGGTTCTCACACAGGTGCAGCGAGAAGCGGACGTGGCCCTGATCTTGAAGCTGAACTGCGCAAGGCATCCTGGGGAGTTTTCGGGGGGTTTAGGGTTTAGGGTTTGGGGTTTAGGGTTTAGGGTTTAGGGTTTAGGGTTTCGGATTTAGGGTTTCGGGTTTAGGGTTTAGGGTTTAGGGTTTAGGGTTTAGGGTTTAGGAGCTTTGCGGCCCGCTTGGATGCCTTCCCGGCACCCCCGAACTAGTCTACGCCTCATTCTCATGGTCTGGTCCCAAGACATTGCACCACTGCTCAACATTCCACAGGGGTTTAGGGTTTAGGGTGTAGGGTTTAGGGTTTAGGGTGGAATGTTGCAAGCACTTTTTTGGAAGGTTCAAGACCCCAGTCTCTGTACAACCGACACTGGACCGCCGGAATAATTACCAATCAATTTCCCTTAGGGTCCCTTTATAAACGTACTATAATAACCCCCCCCCCAAAAAAAAAAAACAAAACTGTTCTAATTATCAAGGCCTCTCTAGTAGGCCTAAACCCTAAACCACTCTAAACCCTAGATCCTAAACCGTAAACCCTAAACCCTAAACCCTAAACCCTAAACCACCCTAAACCCCAAACCCCAAACCCCAAACCCCAAACCCCAAACCCCAAACCCCAAACCCCAAACCCTAAACCCTAAACCCTAAACCCTAAACCCTAAACCCTAAACCCTAAACCCTAAAACCCTAAACCCTAAACCCTAAACCCTAAACCCTAAACCCTAAACCCTATTCTAATCATTAAGGCTCCTACACTACGCCAGGATGGTGGTGGACCTCTGCTGCCGAGTCAAAGACAACATCGCCAGCTTCGAAATGCCCTGAGCTCAGACGAAGAAGGCCAACCTGGGGTTTAGGGTTTAGGGTTTCGGGTTTAGGGTTTAGGGTTTAGGAGATTAGGAGATTAGGAGTTTAGGGTTTAGGGTTTAGGGTTTAGGGTTGCTTCCGAGCGAAGACTGAAACAACAACAGTCTCAAGCGACTTTGTCTCTCTCTCTCTCTCTCTCTGCAGATGTGTGCATACAATGCACTGCAGGTGGTACATGGAAAGCCCTATTAGACCTTGAATCACAATCCTAAGCCCCTAAGCACACGATATGAGAAACGCCGCACCCTAAACCCTTAAAAGCCTTAAGCCCTAAAACCCTAAATGCCTAAGCCCTACCCAAAGCCCTAAAACCCAAAACCCTGCAACCTTAAAACCCTAGAGCCCTAAAACCCTAGAACCCCACAGCCCGAATCACCCGAAACCTAGCACAGCAAGACCCGAATCCCAAATCTTAGAGTAGATGCAAAGGGCCCTGAGCCCGTAGTTGGGGAACCCTTTATATGGGGGCTTCCGAAATTCCTGACTATAATCCGACTCTTTGGGGACTAAATTAGGGGTCCCGTATTCTGGGAAAAAAAAGAACCTGATAAACCCTACACAAGGGCCTGCACTTCGGAGAAGGAACGTGGATGGTTTAGTTGTAAGTAGGGTATGGGCAGGGGTACCTAGACTGATAACCCTATCTACGACACTTAGAGCCCTACTTACAAGTACCCATGAACCACCACGTGAACCCAGAGCCCTAGACCCAAACCTGAAACCCTAAACCCTAAACCCTCAACCCTCAACCCTCAACCCCAAACGCACCATGTAACTTCCCTTCGACCTACACTTTCGGGCCAAGGGCCGGGGACAAGGCGCCGGTGGTGGCCTGGAAGCAGCGCCTCAGCTACTGTCAAGTAGCGGCTATGGCTTCCTTTAGGGTTTAGGGTTTGGGGTTTGGGGTTTAGGGTTTAGGGTTTAGGGTTTAGGGTTTAGGGTTTAGGGTTTAAGGCATTTAGGGTTTAGGGTTTAGGGCTTTGAGGGGGGGGATTAAGGCTTGGACCTAAAGACCGGCTCTCATGCTTGGGAACCCTCAATCCCTCAAGCACCGGTTTAGGGTTTAGGGTTTAGGGTTTAGGGTTTAGGTTTGTGCGGCAAAACGTGCAGGAACTGCAACGTCCAGCTCTGCGCCCTGACGCTGGGCTAAAGTGGACTTGGAGGGCTCCCCCCCATGGGTGTTCTCTGGGGTTTCTGAGATTTCTGGGGTTTGGGGGGTTTAGGGTTTGGGGTTTAGGGTTTAGGGAGTTTATGGGGTTCCGGGGTTTAGGGTTCAGGGTTTAGGGTTTAGGGTTTAGGGTTTAGGGTTTAGGGGGTTTATGGGCTTCTGGTCCTGGCTGATAGCTTTACTCAGCGCCACGAAGCTGGTCTCTCTGAACTCTAGACATTTCCCAGCCATTGGAAGGTGCCCATCCCTAAGCCCTAATCCTAAGCCCTAAGCCCTAAACCCTATATAAACCTAAGCCCTAAACCATAGCCCTAAACCCGAAACCCGAAGCCCTAAACCCGAAACCCGAAACCCGAAACCTAAACCCTAAACCCTAAACCCTAAACCCTAAACCCTAAACCCTAAACCCTAAACCCTAAACCCTAAACCTAACCCTAAACCCTAAACCCTAAACCCTAAACCCTAAACCCTAAACCCTAAACCCTAAACCCTAAACCCTAAACCCTAAACCCTAAACCCTAAACCCTAAACCTAAACCCTAAACCCTAAACCCTAACCCTAAACCCTACACCTGCCTTTGCTAGAGTGCTAGTCGGTCTATACTATAGGGTTTAGGGCAGAAGAAGAGCCACGCAGAGATCAGGGGGATCGCCTAAACCCTAAACCCTAAACCCTCTAACCCTCTAACACTCTAAACCCTAAACCCTAAACCCTAAACCCTAATTAAACCCTAAACCCTAAACCCTAAGCCGCCTGATCCCAGGAAGTGGCTGGGTCTGCTGTGTAAGAGCCGCCTCGCGCGCTTGGTGCGCGCCAAGTCATGGGAGATGTTTTCGGGGCCTTTTGGGGCTGCTTAGGGTTTAGGGTTTAGGGTCTAGGGTTTAGGGTTTAGGGTTTCGGGTTTAGGGTTTAGTATTTAGGGTTTAGGGCTTGAATTCATTTCCAAAAGCCCCAGCATAGGTACTCAGGTCCTGAGAGTTGTGGGAAGCCTCCATGCTCCATCCACGTCGAAGTCTTGCTGTGCCGGCTTTTGCGGCAGGGTTTTAGGGTTCCGGGTTTAGGGTTTAGGGATTTTTAGGGTTTAGGGTTTAGGGTTATTGAGGATTTTTTTGGGGTTTCGGTTTAGGGCTTTCAGGTTTAGGTTTAAGGATTTTAGGGGTTCAGGGGTTTAGGGTTTAAGGATTTCAGAGGGTTTAGGGTTTAGGTATTTTAGGGGGTTTAGGGCTTAGGGATTTGGGGTTCAGGGATTCAGGGTTTAGGGTTTGGACACGCAGGGTTTTGATCGGTTTCAGGATTTGGGGTCTGGTGCTCCGCAGGTCCTGCTTCTCACTGGCCGGGTCACGCTTCTCGCCGATGTGGCCACAGCCTACCTGGACAGGGGCGGGCTACTCTTAAACCCTAAGCACTAACCGCCCTTTAAAGGGGTTTAGGGGGGTCTAGGGGCTTCGGATTTAGGGTTTAGGCCCCCGAACGCCAGCATTTCACAAGAATTTTCGAGTTCTGAAGGGAGGGACCTAGAGAACATGACAAGAGCTTAAAGAGCCTTTAGGGAGTAGTGGGGAGTATCCGGCAACCTTGGGTTACATACCCCCCTTGGAACCCGCCTCCCTTACCGAAACCCGAAACCCGAAACCCTAAACCCTAAACCCTAAACCCTAAACCCTAAACCCTAAACCCGTCCCTTGAGAACCCTTTAAATCTCACAAGAAAATTCTCCCAGGACATGCACTTTGCGGAGGCCTTGAAGCCCCAAGACGTCGAGGCCCCTGGCTTGTTAGGGTTTAGGGTTTAGGGTTTCGGGTTTAGGGTTTAGGGTTTAGGGTTTAGGGCTTCGCATTTAGGGTTTAGGGTTTAGGTCTTCGGGTTTAGGGTTTAGGGTTTAGGGCTTTTCTAAACCCTAAACCCGAAACCCGGATCTCTCAACCCCAAGCCCTAAACCCACTTCAGAGCATTCTTTCGTATCTGATGGTTTCGGGCTCGGGGACTTGCCGCTTCTGGACCCTAAACCCTATAGCCCCCTTAAGAAGCTTAGGGTTTAGGGGTTAGGGGTTAGGGGTTTAGGGTTTAGGGTTTAGGGTTTAGGGTTTAGGGGTTTAGGGTTTAGGGCTTAGGGCTTAGGGCCTTAGGGTTCCTGAGTCGTTTTTTCATCTTCAGGGTGGGCCGGTCCTCTTCTTGCCGCAGCTCCTGCACGTCTTGGCGCTGCACATGAAGCAGGCAGGACGCCTCTAGCTCGAGCCTCGCAACCCTAGCCCTAAACCCTAAACCCTAAACCCTAAACCCCAAACTTTAACCCTAAACCCGAAACTTTAAACCTTAAACCCTAAACCCTAAACCCCTGCCCGTAGGGATGAGAGCTTAAGGAGCTTCCACTTCAAGAAAACCCTTGGCACCCACGACCCCATCTGGGTTTTGGAGTTTAGGGTTTAGGGTTTGGGGATGCACGTTATAAAACTTTGTTTGGTTCTGGGTTCCTAATATGGCTACTGATACCTGAACAGTATACACTTGTTTCCCAGGGTCGACTCCAAACTAGGGCCATAGCCAAGAACCGAAACCCTGACTTTTTGTTCGTCACGTGAAGCTAGGTGTAGCACCTAATTGCAATGCTGCTCTTTCAGGACTTTCCATGTCTTATCCGACAAAAGTATTATTTCTGGGGCACTCAGAACCTAGTTATAACTACGCATGAACCTCCAAGTAAGACCTCAAGCCTTAAGCCCTCAAAACCCAACCTTTCTGGCTTCCGGGCTTCGCCAGTGAGTGTTGCGGGACCTTAACAAGGGTTTAGGGTTTAGGGTCACCCCCATGGCCAGCTGAAGTCTTTGCCAACATCCTTCCTTCTGCTGTAGACCCGAGCCCCAAGCCAGGGCCTGCAGTCTAACGCCCTAAACCCTAAATTTCCCTAATCTAAACCACGAGGTCTTGAAGCAACTTTTCGGAAACCACACTGAACCCTAATAACCAAAAGCATAAACCCCCTACACCCTAAACCCTAAAGGCCCCAACGGCCCTACGCCCCTTTCTCCTCGAACGTGTGCCGTGAAGGCCCCACCAGAGGGCGCGCGAGACCTGCAGGCTGGCAGGGCTCTAAGATACTGCTCGTCACGGCTTGGGGGGTTGGGGGTTTCGTTTCGGGGTTTTGGGGCGTTGGGGTTTTTAGGGTTTCTAGGGTTTCAAGGGTTTCTAGGGTTTGGCGTTTTGGGGTTTGGGGTGCTGGGAGTTTGGCGTTTTGGGGTTTCTAGGTTTCTAGGGTTTGGCGTTTTGGGGTTTGGGGTGCTGGGAGTTTGGGGTTTTGGGGTTCTGGGGTTTTGGGGTTTCTAGGTTTCTAGGGTTTGGCGTTTTGGGGTTTGGGGTGCTGGGATTTTGGGGTTTGGGGTTCTGGGGCTTTGCGGTTTCTAGGAAAGGTTTCCAGGGTTTGGCGTTTGGGGGTTTTGGCGATTTTGGGGGTTTGGGGGTTTCGGGGTTTCGGGGTTTAGTTTTTGAGGTGTTGGGTTTTGGAGCTTTGGGGTTTTGGGGTTTTCGGGTTCTGGAAATCTGGGGTGTGGGGCTCCTGATCGCTTGTTCATACTTGGTATGCAGTATCACACATTCCAGTTCCTGTGAGTGACTACTACAAATACCCTCAACCCTAAGCCCTAAAAGTGAGCATCGGGACCATTGTCGGCTCAGTGAGAAGCAGCCCGACGAAGCGGCATGTTCGAGCTGCTTTTTCACTAAAAACTGACAAGTCGAGATCGTACCGTTAAACCCTAAACCCTAAACCTACATGCACCCTAAACACTCTAGTCGAAAACCCTCCTAAAAACAGAATAAAAGAAGAAACCGTAGAAACCCTTCCAACCCTACAGCCGATTTGACTGAACACCTGTCATCGTGAGGCCCTAGTTGGCCAGAGAAGCCCTTTCGGGTTTAGGGTTTAAGGGTAGGGGGGGTTGAGGGTTTAGGGTTTAGGGTTTGGCAGCTGCGTCCTTTGGGACCTAAGTGACTACATGGTTAGAGAAGTGGCCAAAGATTGTAGAACCCTAAACCCTAAACCCTGAACCCTTAACCCTTCACCCTTCAACCCCTTGCCCTAAACCCCAAACCCTAAACCCTAGACCCCAAACCCTGAACCCTAAACCCTAACGCTAAGAGTGCGCGCTACTAAACACGGAAGCTCTCTGCCAGGGCTCACTGGCAGCATACTTGATCCTGTGTGGCCTTGCTGAGAAGCCGCCTGGCGCAGGGTTTGTGGCTTGGGGCTTTCCTGGGTTTTAGGTTTTAGGGGGTTTAGGGGGTTTAGGGGGTTTAGGGGGTTTAGGGGGTTGACGGGGTTTACGGGGTTTAGGGGGTTTGCGGGGTTTACGGGGTTTAGGGGGTTTAGGGGGAATCGAGGGCTTAGAGGGTGTTGAGGGTTTTAGGTTTTGAGGTTTTGGGACGTTTCTAGGATTCAGGGGCTTTGAGGGTTTTAGGGTTTAGGGTTTGGGGTTCTGGGCTTGCAGGCTTCAGGGCTTTCAGGGGCTCAGGCTTTAGGGTTTGGGGTTTTGGGCTTGTAGGTTTTGAGGGTTTTTTAGGGTTTAGAGTTTAGCTTCAGTTTGCTGACAAACTTCTGCAGCGCCATTGTGACAGCCTGGGAGCGTCAACGCTTACGAAAGCTGATCATTTCTGCAGATTGCGGTTGGTACAGTTCAGCCGAGTGGTGGCTGACAAGGCCCATGACCAAGTGGTGGGTCTGCCGTCCTTTGGCTCGGCTTGTGCTGGGCACGGCAAGCGAGCTAGCACTATTGAGCCTGGTGCCAAGCGCAACATACCGATGCACGTCAATGACTGCCGAAGAATCTTCTTGGCGTTGCGTCAATGCCGTTCTGGAACTCTCACACGGCAGCGACAGATTGGGCCTCAACGCGCTGATCACCGGAGCAATGACAGCGGACGACCTAAAGGCAACGCTGCGCGAGATCCTGATTCATGGACAGCTAGCGTCATCCTTTGCGCGTTTAGGTTTTGAGGGCTTCAGGGTTCGAGGGTTTTTGAGGGCTTTGAGGGTTTTATGGTTTTGGGGGTGTAGGGCTTTGGGGGTTTCAGGAGGTGTGGGCTTCTAGTTTTCGAGTGTTTTGCATGTTTGGGCCTTTCTTTTTTTATTGGGGGGGGGGGGGGGGGGGGGGGGGGGGGGGGGGGTGGGGGATGGGGGCTTGGGGGCGGTTCTTGATTCGTTTTTTTGTCAGTGTTTTTCGGGCTTAGTCTTATTAATAAGGTTCGGAATAGGCCGCCCTCAAACCCCTAAAGAACATCAAGTAAACCCTACACCCCTCAGCCTTCATGAAGCCCAAACAAAAATCGCACAGCCCCAACCCTAACCCTAAACCCTTAACCCTAGCGGAGAAAAAGCCCCAGGGGCTTCCACCCCCAGCACCGCTCTTGAACCTCCAAACAAGTGTACGGGTTGCAGATCTCAAGGGCCAGTAGCGCATAAACCCCCAAACACAAAACCTCTAAACCCTCTACCCGTCTGAACCTACAGCCCCAACCCTAACCCTAAACCCTAAACCCTAAACCCTAAACCCTAAACCCTAAACCCTAAACCCTAAACCCTCTCTAAACCCTGAATATGAGAAAAGGCTTCGCGAGCTCTTCGGGCGCGCCGAGATCCGCCCGGGCCCAAGCGTTCGTGCCGCTTTCGGGGTTCAGGGCTGCCTGGTTTGAGGTTGGGGTTTAGGGTTTAGGATTTAGGGTTTAGGGTTTAGGGTTTAGGGTTTAGGGTTTAGGGTTTCGGGTTTAGGGTTTAGGGTTTAGGGACCAAGGCCCTTGGGCGCAAGAACGTGAAGAAGTAAATCTCTATGCCCCTGCACCCCAAGTCCTGGACCCGAGGCCCTTTAACATAATTATCTTTGAACCTCTATAAGCCCTGATGCCCCAAAATCCTAACATGATAAACCTATAAAACACCTAAACCTGCACCTTACAGCCCTAAACCCTAAAACCCCGAATCCCGAAAACCCCTAAAGCCCTAAACATCTTCATTTGCGAGATGCACGGGGTGGTTTCACGCAGACCTCATGCTGGACGCCACCATGAAATGTCCGACCTAAAGCCCTAAAACCCCACCCTAAAACCCAAAAAGTTAATACTAATACTACCAATAAGAATAAGAATAGGAAAAATCATAATTATCATAATATTCATAATATAATAATGATGAGAATAATAACAATAATAATTCAATCATAAAACAAGCGAGACGTGGAGGTGGCCTCAAGCTCTTCGACGGGGCCTCTCCACTACCGCTGCTTCTGCTGCGGGCAATGTCTCCTGGCCTCCCACAGCCCCAGAAAGCCCCCGAAAAGCCTTGGGGTTTGGGGTTTGGGGTTTAGGGTTTAGGGTTTAGGGTTTGGGGTTTCGGGCCCCGAAAGCCCCGAAAGCCCCGAAAGCCCCAAAGCCCCTATAAAATCCTAAAGCCCTAAGCCCCCCCAAAATGCCCAAATATCCCGAGACCCTTACTGAACTCCAAAAAAACTCCAAAGTGCCTAAAAGTCTCTACACCCGTACTGAACCCGAAACTCAAATCCCAAAACCTGTGTGGGTTAAACGAAACTTTCTGGCTTCTTTACGCTCCTTTTAGGGCTTAAGGTGTAGGGCGCCTGCGACAGTGTAACAGGTGTGAGGTGTGGATCGGTCACTATCTTCCTGTTAGAGGCTGTTAGGGTTTAGGGTTTAGGGTTTAAGGTTTAGGATTGAGGGTTTAGGGTTTAGGGCTCAGGGCAGTTCACGCGCTGGTGAGGGTCGTCGGGGTTTAGGGTGTCTCGGGTTTCGGCGGTTCCGGGCCTGGGAAGTCCTAGGGTTTAGGGTTTAGGGTTCGGGGGTGTAGTTCCCCTATCGAGGTGCTTTCTGCACATCCTCGTCAACGCCTACCGCCGGCCCGGGGGCGCACAGCCCGAGGCGGGTAATACAGGGGTCGGAATAATTACTCATGTTTTTTTGTTTTTCTTTTAACTATATTAGAAACTTCCCCCAAAACCCTATTCCAATTATCAAGGCCCCTATATAGGACTCCTCCAGCCCACCGAGCTGACGCATGGGAAGTTGTGGATTAGGCTTTCAGGGTTGGTTTGTGGTTTAGGGTTTAGGGTTTTATCGGGTTAGGGTGTACAGTAGGGTCTGTAGGGTTTCGGCTTTGTAGGGTTTAGGATTTCCTTGCTCCCAGGGTACCTACAGTCGTATGCCAACCTTGTAAACTCCGCTAGCATCAGATTCCATAGGCGAAAGCTTTTCATGTCCGAAGACCAAACCCTAAATCCTAAACCCTCAATCCTCAACCCGAAGCAGCCCGTAGCTCCTCTACCCTAAGTCCTTCCTCAGGCGAGCTCAAGCCCTGATGTGATTGCAGCCATTGCGGCCTCCAACGTCGCCTGGCCGTTTAGTGGTCGTTGAATCATTGAAGTCTACTTGGAGGTTCATAGGCAGCTTTCAGTAGGGTTACAAGTATGGCAACTATACTTATAACTCAATTTAGGGTACTTATAACCCTACTTATGAGTACCCATGACCCGCCAAGTATAGATGGTCAGAAGACCCAAAGACCACAGCCCTTGCAGTCCTTCGCCGCAGACCAGCGAATACCTCAACTCTCTCTCAGAAGCAGGTTATCATTTAGGGTTTAGGGTTTAGGGTTCAGGGTTTAGGGTTTAGGGTTTAGGGTTTAGGGTTTAGGGTTTAGGGTTTAGGGGTAACCCCATGTAGGCGGCGTAAAAAAATAGTTGGCGAGGCTTGGTAGAAGCGAGTTTATGGGAGGCTTGGCAACGTCGGCTCTCACCGGTATGGAAATATCTCATGAAAAGGCTTCAGGGCTTGGGGTTATCCAATCTTGGTTTTCGGCTGCGGCGATTCCGGAGGGTTTGAGGCTAACAGAGGTGCTATGTCATGAAGTATTGTTGGAGCTTTCTCCATGTTATCCAGGACACTGTGGGCTCACATGGAAAAGAGAGTCATATCCGCGTCTCCAAAATGGCATACTCCAGGCCCTTAGCGGCCTAACTGTCACAAAGAAGTTGTCAACCCTGAAAACTCTACACCCCGAGATCAGCTCGCCCCCCACTTTAGCACCATGTTCAGCAACCCGCTGACCAGAGAAGGGTTTCAGTTCGCAGGCGGTGGCCTGGCAAATTCTGGCATCCTTCGGTCGAGAGCCTCCCAAGGGAACACGTAACAAGGTTACGTAACTTAGTTGTAGAGGAGGGAAACCTTTAACCTTTTTGGGGGAATAAGAATCCCCTTATAATCCCAAAGGTTAACCTTTAGTTCCCCATAGGAACTGGACAACGAGGAAGATGACCTTCTCCTTTTTCCTCAAAGGGGAGCACACATCCCCAAACCCAACCTCAGAATGCAGCATCCAATAGCAAACCCATAAGCCCGATTCAGACCCCCAAAAACCCCATAGAACCCTAACCCCAAACCCCAAACCCCAAACCCCAAACCCCAAACCCCAAACCCCAAACCCCAAACCCCAAACCCCAAACCCTAAACCCTAAACCCTAAACCCTAAACCCTAAACCCTAAACCCCCCCGAAGCCCTCGACCCCAAGTCCCCCACACTCCCGAGAGCGCCCAACGCAACGAGTCGGGCCCCAGGAGCGTGTGCTCGAGACCCTCCGCAACACCGAGCTCTTCGGTGCACGCCCCGGTGTGGGGGGTTTAGGGTTTAGGGTTTAGGGTTTAGGGTTTAGGGTTTGGGGTTTAGGGTTTAGGGTTTAGGGCATGATGGGAACTTAGAGGATATTTTCATACCCCCCCCCCCCCCCCGGGTCGTAGCCTGAACTCTAAACAAGCCCCCTACATCCCTACACCCGAAACCCGAAACCCTAAGCCCCTGCACCTAAATTTGCGTGTCGGTCCGAAGATGCAAATGCTTGGAGGTCTTATAGTGTGGCGTTGGGGGTCGAGGGTTTATTTAAGGTTTATTTAAGTAGGGTTTATTTCAGTAGGGTTTATTTAAGCAGGGTTTATTTAGGGTTTATTTAAGTAGGGTCTAATTGACAAGGCTTGGTAGTTATTGTACGGGCAATCGGTGGCGGCCTGCATGTTCGATTCAAGTATCGTGACGGGATGAGGTCGATCATTGATCTTAGATCCTGCGATCGCCATTTGCTACGCGATGGGCTCATACTGTACACCCTGAATCCTAATCCCCAAGCCCTAAACCCCAAGCTCCAAAGAGCTCCGCATGGCCTCCGCCCTATGCCCTCCAGCCCTAAACCCTAAACTCTAAACCCCAAACCCCAAGCCCCAAACCCTAAACCCTAAACCCAGGTGTTGTTGGCATCCTGGTGTCCATCTTGCTTTCAGACGGCCGCCGGGAGAAGGGCGCGAAGCTGCCGCAGACGGCATCCTGCCATGAAGCTTGAGGGGTTTAGGATGGTTTAGGGCTCCAAAATCCTGGGTTTCAACCCCCCGCAAAAAAAATGACAATAAAATAACTAATTAAATATAAATAAATATATGGGCGCCCGCCAAAATTATGTTTCTTGAAGCCCGTAGTACAGTGGACACGAGTTGTTCAACCTGGAAAGCGACATGGGCCCCACCTAAAGCGATAACAATAGTTTGCACGTTTAGATACATGCATCCCACAGTCCCATAGTATGTAAAGCGATACGGGCCCCACGTAAAGCGATAACATGATATTCCGCGGCCTCGCACCGTGTAAAGAAATTTTGTCCGTCGCTCATATCTGTACATATATATATATATATATAACAGTAATACTAAACAAATCAAACAAAGTAGGGGGTTCCTTTCTAAATCAAGCAATGGGATGACTCAGGTGGTGTCGCTGTGCGTGCAGGCGGGGCGCTGTGCCTTACCAGCCGAGAGGGTTTCACGCAGTCACAAGCCCAGGCACACACGTGACGTCTTGCGCAGAGAGCAGCACAGAATGACATCGAATGACCTAAGCCTTTGTGGCTTGACTCCTCCTTAGGGGGGCCATTTTCCCGATACGCCAAAAACTATAGTAGCAGATTGTACTGGAGCCTTGCTTTAGTGCTCATTGGGAGGGGTCCATTTTTGGGTACATCGGGATTCTTCCAAGCTTGCGATGTCGCAAGCCGCTGCCCCAAAACTCCCAAATCGAAAGCCGGAAGTCCTCTAGCAGACGAATCTCCCAAGCCCTGAGCCCCAAGCCACTTTCCTCGAGCTTCAAACCAGGCAAGGCAATCCTGAGCACACACCTGAAATGCCTCAACCCTTGACCTCCTCGCCCCTAAACCCTAAACCCTAAACCCTAAACCCTAAACCCTAAACCCTAAACCCCTTGTTCCGGCAATGGCTGCGCAACGCACAGTTGTGTCATGTGCAGCCGCAACCCTGGGGCTCTCCTCACTGGGTTTAGGGTTTAGGGATTAGGGTTTAGGGTCTAGTGTCTAGGGTCTGGGGTCTAGGGTTGAGGTAGTTGTGGGATGATGGATGCCCATGCCTACAAATGAGGCAACAGCCCTCCGAAACATTTGAAGAAGTCCCAGCCTCTCCTCTGAATACCTAGATACGGAAAGCCCTAAGACCATGTTCCTTTCATAGGCTTACAAGGGGTCCCATATACCAACATTCTCCAAGAGGGTTGTAAAGGCCAACCCAGATGAGGAGAACCATGTTTCCTCATGCTTCCCCTATCTTCCGGGCCCGAAACCCTCAACCCTAAACCCTACACCCCGCCTCCTGGAGCAGGCCCTCCGGATCCTCAACTGCGTTGCGCAGATTGTTCGGCCCTCAGACGTCCATCAATTGGGGGTGTCGGGGGGGTGTAATTGTTGCTAGATATGGGGGTTTCCGAAAATAGGGGTATCCTTTTTGGGGGGTCCCTTTGAGGGGATTCTATTCTATTTGGGGGTCTAAAAGGGGTACCCGTATTTTGGGGAAATACCCGTTTGGTGAGTTCTCAAAATTGTGGTCCCTGATTGGGGTGCCCTAAAATATTAAGGGCCTTATAACAGCGACCCAAACGGGACCCTGATTTGGAGATGTGACCATCTATGTATATAGATAAGCCTAAATGTAGGTGCATGTGTGTGTAGATTGAGAGAGGCGGGTAGTGGGGGTGTGGGGTTTTCTTGCCGAAGAGAAAGATGGGTATTGCGGGTGTGGGGTTGTCTTGCCGCCTAGTAGAGACCGTTCTCATGTCTGAGGTGGAGTATGCAGGGCAACATGTTGAATGTGGCCTTTGATGCGGCTGTATTTCAGACACAGTTTGCTCTGGCTTGAGTTCTCATGATAAGAGGTTCTACTCCATGCAGAACTGCCTCCCCTGGCTTCCCTCTCTCCCCTAGCGGCCTATGTGCGTCCAGGACCTCAAAACGCTGCAGAAGACCATGGGCGCCGGGGCGGGTCGGCAGCAGGAGTGGGCAGGTTGGAGGAACTTCCACCAGAGCCCTGTAAGGCCCAAGTCACCCGTAAACCCTGAACCCCAAACGTGCTCCGGAGCCCTACTGAGAATCCGAAAGGGGACACTGCCTTAGGGATGCTGCTGCACTTTGTCAACCCAGTATGGATGCCGCTAGGGGCCCACGCCAAGCTAAGCATGCTAGGCTACTGCTTTCTCGGCTAAATGTCAGGAGCCTGAAATCTCACCATGACTATCTCGTTACAGTCCCTGATAGTATGTATCCAGAATACAAGCCATAGTTCTCATTCTATTTCAAGCAGGCTGCATATTTCAAACGTATACCGCAGCTATTCAAACTTGGCTGAAAGTCGAAGAAGTAGAGTAGGCAACCTTTAACCTTTTCGGGGTAATATGATCCCCTTAGAATCCGAAAGGTTAACCTTTAGTTCCCCTGGGATACTGGACAAATAAAGAAGTCGACCATGCCCAGTTGCCAGTTGCAGTGTCCCGTGACCATCCAGCCTAAACCCTAAAAGAGCGATGGCTTAGTTGGCGCCTGCCGGGCAAGTGAACAGCCACAGGAGTTGTACCATGTGCTGGTGACGCTCTTGGACTACTGCGTGGCCCGAATTCCTGGAAACTTGGCGTAAGCTTAGCAAGCAATTGCGCGTTGGTTCCCTTGCTCCCCCCCCTCTACAGGTTTTTTGCAACAAAATGACCCATTTTTAAATCAGGAGTATGGGTGCATTTAATGCTTACCCATGTGAGAAGTACGCCAGTTTGAGCCAGTAAATACAATTTATATTCAGTAGATTTTCTTAAATACCTTCAACATCACTACTTTTTGAAACATTACATATGAAGCATTTTCATAGCAAGCAGATGTTAGTCAATTTTTTTGGTACGAAGATATCTTCATAGTCTTCCCATCACAAGTTAAGTTTGCATTCTCCACATTTCTGCAGAATGTTCTGCCCCTGCCAACCACCCACACCAAGCCTCGCTGGAGCCGTGGTGCAGCAGCAGTGCTATGCTTTGACGAGTGCTTGTAAATCTTGGTAGCCCAGTGGTACATTTTTGCCCTTTCATGGTTGGTTCTGGGGTCCCTTATACAGTAGCCTAGGGTCCCTTATACAGGAACCAACCCCAAAAGAAGGGTGCTCTGCCTCATAACACGATTACTGGGCTACCAAAGACATGACGATGGCAAGCACTTGGTGCAGAACACACTTGCGCGTTGTTTGCATGTGAGCGTGTGCCCTTTGTGCCTTTCGGCCGGATTTGCGGGGCTGGAGGATGTTCGAGTGTGAGTTGCTTATGCTGCGGGGGATTTCGGAGGTAGGATCAGGGATGTGACTTGGCCTAAACCCTACACCCTAAACCCTGAACCCTAAACCCTAAACCCTGAACCCTAAACCCCAAACCCCAAACCCTAAACCCTAAACCTGAAAAGCTGACGTCTGAGAATCACAGGAGCGCCCCGAAGACTACGCCCAAACCTACCCCAAAAGGCTCCCACCCAATGTCTCCTAAACCCAGAATTTCCTTAAAAACCCCTACAGTTACAAAAACCCAGAAAGTCCTAAAAAAACTCCTACAAACCCTCCAAGCCCCCTACAAACTCCTATAGGGCCCTCGAAACCCGAAAAAAACACCAAAAAAGCCCCGCTTCCCTCTAAGGCCCAAGAGCGCCCTCAGCTCCACCCGCTCCTCCAGGGTTTGCTAAGTAGTGCGTTAAGGGTTTAGGGTTTAGGGTTTAGGGTTTAGGGTTTAGGGTTTAGGGTTTAGGGTTTCCTCCCTGAACTTCCAAGGAAGCGTTACGAAGCCGACCACCTCCCAAGGCAGTGTACCTCCAACAACACGCAGTTTGGGTGGTTGGAAAAACATCACGGTCCCAATTTCGGATCCCTATGATAATGCGGCACCTAAGGCTTAGGGTACCCCAAAAAAGGGACCATAATTTTGACAAAACCACCCTTTAGGGGGTTTAGGGTTTCAGGTTTAGGGGTTTAGTGTTCAGGGAGGCCAGTAGGGATACTGTCTAAGGAGGAGGCCAGTTGGGAGACTTTGCATTTTCCTTTTTTGGTTTTAAGAGGGCCGTGTTTAGGAACATTCTTCGGCAGGCTTTATATGGACCATCCGAGTTGAAAAGACCGTGCACAATACGATAGCGTTTGGCAGTATGCCGCAACAGACCATGGTCTACCCATACGGTGAGGTGGTAGTGCTGTACTAGAATACACTACACGAATCCTTCAGTGAAAGCTGCAGTGCACCCTAAACCCTAAACCCTAAACCCTAAACCCTCAACCCTCAACCCTAAACCCTAAACCCTAAACCCCAAGCCCTAAGCCCTCAAAGCATAGGAATCGGCTCGAAGGGCTTCAGTTCGGGCTTTCTCCATTTGTATCCTGCGTCTCTTGCAAAAGTCCTTGGTCGGCCCTTGGGATAGGGTAAGTAGGGTTTGGGTTTAGGGTTTAGGGTTTAGGGTTTAGGGTTTAGGGTTTAGGGTTTAGGGTTTAGGGTTTCGGGTTTAGTAGTGTAGTCAGTGTAGTAGGTTAGGGGTTTAGGGTTTCTCTTCTCTTGGGGTTTAAACGGGGTTTCGTTCAGGTACCCTAAGTGGCCTAAACCCGAAATCTAAAGCCCAAATTACCCCAAACCCGAAAACACCCCCAAACCCAAACCCTAAAACCCTAAACCGCTAAGCCCAAACCCTACAGCCTCACAACATTGCATAGCCAAATTGCCCTCAACCCTAGAAACCCGAAATCCTAAACGGTCCCCGAAACCCGGAGTTCAAAACCCAAACGACTGCTAACCCCTAAAAAAACTAAAACCCAGAGTTTAAGGTTTAGGGTTTAGGGTTTAGGGTTTAGGGTTTAGGGTTTAGGGTTTAGGGTTTAGGGAGCTAGCGGGTGGGGGTTGTAAGGACCCATTTCGCCAGGTCAGCCAGAGGAGAGCGAGCTGCTCCATGAAGCTGGGCTATGGGTTTAGGGTTTAGGGTTTAGGGTTTAGGGTTTAGGGTTTGTTGTTTAGGCTTTAGGGTTTAGGTTTAGGGCTTAAGGTTTAGGGTTTAGGCTGAAGGGCTTTGTGACGAGATTGCTGTGGGTTGTTACGTAAGTCGCAAAGCCGTGGCTGAACCCGCAGTCCGAAACGCAGGAACAGTCTTGGGCTCAGTTTTTGGGACCCTAAACCCTACACCTTAAACCTGGTACCCGAAACCAGAAACCTTCAACCCTAAACCCTAAACCCTAAACCCTAAACCCCAGTAGCCCTCCAAAAGCTCCCTGCTTCGCAGCACGACTGCCACCAGTCGTGCAGCTGAAGCCCAGGAAACGGTAGTGCTGCTTGGCGGGGGCCTGAGACAAGGGTTTAGGGTTTAGGGTTCAGGGTTTTGGGTTTAGGGTTCAGGGTTCAGGGTTCAGAGTTGTTCCTGGAGCAATCCGAAACCTCATCTATCTACACCACCCGGTTCCCTCGACCCTAAACCCCCATGCCTTACGTACATCCAAACCAAATGTACCGGAAGCGCCCAGTCTTCCGGTATGCCTTACATTCAGGCTTACGGCTGAAAGGACTTTCCAGGATAGCCCGGCGATGCCCTAAGGCCCTTCTTTAGGAGGTGCTAGGGTCCCCCATATACCAACCCGTCTAACCAAAACATGGGGGGAGGGGGCGGGAGGGGGGGGGGGGGGGGGGGGGGGGGGGGGGGGGCTTGTTGTTATACTTTTGCTGGGTTTAGGGTTTAGGGTTTAGGGTTTGGTGTTTAGGGTTTAGGGTTTAGGGTTTAGGGTTTAGGATAAACTAGTAGTACCTCGAAGATTGGACTCTTTGGCTTCTGGAGCAGAAGAGGCCGTCGATCCCATAAAACGGCCTGAGGCCGTAAAGCCCCAAACCCCGAGCCCTGGATGAAGCCCGAAGCCCTAGGGTTTAGGGTTTAGGGTTTAGGGATCGGGTTTCGGGTTTCGGGTTTAGGGATCCTGAACCGGAAGCCACAAAGACGCGCCAGACACGAATTCTGAACCCTTTTTGCCCTCAGAGCCCTAAACCCTAACCCCAGGTCCAGACCCCCAAGCTGAGTAGCTGAACGCGTACACTTTACACTTTTTGGGATGCCAGAATCCCCTAAAGAACTGAAAGTTTACAGGTTTTTTGGGGCTCTTGAACTCGGCAACTAAGTAAGTCCCACAGAGTGGGCCCGTCTCCCCTCCTGAACCGCAAAGACCAGACCCCAAGAGCCGGCACCCAGAGGAAGGCCCTCCTGAAGAACCTCAGACCCTGAAAAACAAGTATCATACCAACGGTGATGATCCTTACGATTATCACGGTTAGCATGTTTTATGATGGTTGTTGCCCTAAACCCTAAACCCTAAACCCTAAACCCTAAACCCTAAACCCTAAAAACAAGCCCCTGCTAATCTTCAACTCCCGGCTTGATGATCGCAGGAGTTGAGAAGAAGTTTCCAAAATTGGGCGAAAATGGCGGGGAGTTGAGGAGTTGGGCGTTGGGAGCAGAGTAGGCCCCGTTTCCCCCTTTTTTTGGCAGCCTTGGGTTCGTTGACAAGCCCCTTTAGAGCCAAAAAAGGGCACATTTTTTGTTGTGATTCCTAGCCCTAAACCCTGAGACCTAAACCCTCGACCCTTTTTATTCCTAGGTTGCTCTTGGGGTTTAGGGTTTAGGGTTTAGGGTTTAGGGTTTAGGGTTTAGGGTTTAGGGTTTAGGGTTTAGGGTTTAGGGTTTAGGAGGCAAATGACGAGCGCTCAGAGGTTTCTACTGTCTGGAAGCTCCGCAGAATCAGACGATCCTGTGCTACGGCGAGGGCCAGGCAGGGGCTCTCCGTAGGCAGGGTTAGGGTTTAGGGTTTAGAGTTTAGGGTTTAGGGTTTAGGGTTTAGGGTTTAGGGTTTAGGGTTTAGGGTTTAGGGTTTAGGTTTGGGGTTTAGGGTTTAGTGTTTAAAGTTTAGGGTTTTAGGGTTTTAGAGTTTTGGGCTTAGGGTTTGGGGTTTAGGGTTTAGGGCCTAGGGTTTAGGGTTTACTGTTTGGGTTAAGTAGGGCTTCGGGTTTGGGGTTTCGGGTTGACGCTTCACGGGAGCTTTGTGTTTGGAGCTTCCCAGCCATCCGCTACTCCCAAGTGTGAACGGTTCTAGTCGAGTACAGGCCCAAAAGGATTGGGTTTAGAGGGCGCAGGGCTTAGGGTTTAGGGTTGAGGGTTTAGGGTTTGTGGTTTAGGACTTTTTTGAGAAGGGTGAAGACCTGTTTTTTGGAAGCTTACTCTCGCCGCCGGAGGGCGCAGAGCTCGGGGGCCCACATGCTGAGGAAGAGACCTTGCGAGCGCGACCTAGGGGGTTTAGGGTTTAGGGTTTAGGGTTTAGGGTTTAGGGTTTAGGGTTTAGGGTTTAGGGTACCAAGCACTTGTAGCATCGACACCCGCAGCCTGAACCCTAAAGCATTTTGTCGGGGGGTGTAGGCAGCCCAACGTCCCCAATCCCTAAGCTTCCGCAAAACCCTGGGGTGCAACCAACTAGGGTTGTTAGGGTTTTGGGCTTAGCTGCTACCCGCCCCCCCCCCCCCCAGAAAAAACAAAGTCTTCCTTATAAGGGCACTATCTTTTTTTTTTTTCAAATCTTTTCCTTTTATTTATTTATTTATT